ATTATGGAGTATAGAAGTAAGAAGTACCAACTCCCATAAGAGAATAGTTGAAAAAGTGTCCATCTGTAAGCAGTAAATAACAGTTCAAAAACTCTTCACTACAGCGCTCGAGTAGCTAAGGGGTATGTTATATCGCAGTAAAATACGTTGAGAGTGATTTTGAAAATAAAAAAATATTGGTTGCCTGAGTAATTGAAAGAAATAAAATAATTATTGTAAAAAGATTTATGGTGAAAGTCTGTGCAATAAAAAAATTATAAAAAGTTCTTTAAAATTTAAACTGTAGCTACAGTGGCGCCACCCTTATTTAACGCTTTCCTACGAACGCTTTTTTATAAAGAGTCTGTACTCCCTACCTCTACACTCCATAATTTATATGGCAAAATAATAAATATTACACGTCAATACTGAAATATTATTACAGTTAACAATTTAAAATTGATTTAGTGTTTATACGAGCATTCACATATAATACCAACTATAAATAACCTTATGCCCGCGATGGCTAAGTTTAAAGAAAGGGAACTCGAATACAAAATAAAGGCGTGATGTTAACACAATGCCAATACATATTAGCAAACGGTGTAGCAGTTACAGTTATTGAGCAAGGGCTACATAAATTCGAACACGTAGAGATTTAAATGTTTCTGCTGCCCCTCTTCTTTCTGATCTTTACCAATTTAGTGTACATCTACACACTTTTCACTTTTAGAATGAGATTTAGATATGAGATACTGGTGATTTTTTTACTGTCTGAAAAAAATAGTTTGCAGCAGGTGAACGGAATAGAAGCCTATGGCACTGATATTAATTTTTTTTAAAAGTAGCATATTATTTTAATTTCGGTAGTTTCAGTTAACATAAATAACAGTGTTTCTCATTTTTTTCAATTTTGATTATTGCGCTAAAATGTGATCCAATTGGTGACTTTTAAAATCTTACCTAACTTTTACACGTGCGGTTAAAGAATTGGATTGAAAATGGCGTCCTCTCTATTCACTTCTCGCTCGCACACTGTCGCTATCTCCTCACAACCGCCAGTAAAGATTGCGAAAAAATAACGTAGCAATATGCATTTTTCACACGTTCTATAACTTCAGAATAACTAGACTATATTTTATCCAAATAAAGAGAGAGATGAGATTTTATTCAAATAGAAATATCGATAGGATAAACTAAATTAATTGTCTTTAATAATTTTCTGAAGTCTTAATTTCTCACCCATGCGAAGCCAGAGCGTTATAAATGTTATTTTCAAATTATTATTCATACTTGGGTATATAATTATTTTCAATTTTTCCATTAACAGAAAATTTCTAATTAACTGAATAATATAACGCTATAACGAAATACCGTTATTAGCGGGTTTTCGCCGTAAGTACTGTACATGCTGACGGTGCGGGCACGATGAGTCGCCATTTCTAATCCAATTCTTTATCCGTACGGACTGTATATGTTTTATAAACATACACCACTATTTTATTATTAATATTAGTTTTCATAAAATATGTTTATAATAAAATAATATCTGGATATAGGTATTAAGTGTCACTAATACATTTTTACCACAATTTCTTGATATTTTTGCTCCTTTTTCAACTCTCTTTCATACAAACCCATTGCGAGACTTAGTTTGAGTGTAAAAAATAAAAGCTTTTAGTAGACACCTTTAAGTTTCCTATAAATATAATATTTATTTTTTTATAAATATATGAAATGAATATACAAAACCTATTTGAGTACATTGACCTACTACTAAATGGACGGTGAGTCTAGAACGAAATTCATATTACTTTTAAATAATTACATATTAATAGTCCTTATCGAAAATATGATACGCCTTCTTTTTTCATTTTATTCAGGCGCTACTCCTAGCGAACGATCTCGAGCGTTCGGTCCTATATATTCCACTGCGAAATAAATACGCCCAAATTTTAAAATATTATCTTTATAAAATAGAATTTTAGTCCTTTGAAAAAATGAAATAGATCAAAATATTGATTAATAAATTGCCGATCCATTAGTGTCAATCGCAAAATAAAATAATGCTTATTTTATAAGGAGATGCATGTTATCAATAATTATTTCGCATTTCTGTGGTTTCGTTTTAGGAAGATTCGTCAAGTATTTACTATTATTAAAAAAAATTGGAATTGGCTATTATAAAATCAAGATCAATAGATTTTTTATTAGTTGATACATCTTTTTAATAACAAGTAGATCTCCCAAACACCTTACAAAAAACGACTAGGGATAGTAAGTAGTTTTTACACATTTTCACAACCCAGTACGGCATTTTGGACGCGTAATCGGTTGATGAAACGAAGACCGGCTGAACTCATTTTGCATTTTGGAACTTTTGGCTCGGACACTTGAGCGCGGAACCGAGATCCATTTGGTAGTACGTCAATGTTTGAGTAGGGTATTTTTTGAGCTTTTACATACATAATTTGCAAATATATTCTAATCATCACTTTGATGTACTTTTTAAGAATCCATTTTATGGTTTGTTTACACAAAACCTCATGCTAAAATGAACAGAGTTAAGTTGTGATCAGTCCAAAATTGGCTCAACACTATAAGTTGCCTGCGGATCTTAAAAACTGTACATCTGTTTTACTTTATTTAAAATGTTACGATCATAGGTTAGAGATTTTACTACTTTATTTAATTTTAGGGTTTTGAAAGAGTGAGATAAGAAGATATTAAATTCGGACTTACTATTAGATATTGCGTGTAGTGGCGGTGAAAGAATATCCACTACCGCATATCGTTCAGTGAGTGTCGTAAGAGGCGGCAGAGAGAAATGAATCAGGAGATGGGCATCAGCTTCCTTATTATGACTACTGGAAAATAAAAAAAACTGAAATTGCCAACCCGCCTTTCAAGTGTGGCATGATGAGTCCTGTGTTCAGCATTGGACTATGATAGGTCATGGAGCGAATGACCGCTCAGAATTGTTGTGAAATTTCTTTAACTTTAATTAATGTGGAAAAAGTAAATTTCTAAGTATAATTTGAGTATGAAAATGCAACGCTAAAGAGTTAAAATACCGCGAAACAAAACATCGATTATACAAGTTAATAAAATACAGACAAGGTAACAACAATAACAACAATTATATATTATGCAGATTCTAATCCATCGAAACTACACACCTTGAAGCACATAACACATTTTTAATGCTAGTTCATTACATTTTTTTTTCATTGTAGTTCGAGAAATACCTTTATCTTTATTAGGGCCGATCCTCATTTGCCGTTCACAGTTCGTTCTCGGTTCGATCTCTCTCCGATCTTGGTCCGACCTCGGTCCGATCTCGGTCCGACCTCGGTCGACCTCGGTCTGATCTCGGTCCGATCTCGGTCCGATCTTGGTCTGATTTATTATATTATTGCAATGGGATTCGAGCGAAACGTGACTGTTACGGATAGTATGCATGTACACACATATTTTTTACTGGACAATATTTTATCAGATCGAGATCGGACTGGGAACGAACTGTGAACAGCATTATAGTAATGGGATCGGTCCTTAATGCGCAAGTTAGGTGACAGTTTTTTTAAGTATAAATTATAGTAACGTAAAACACTTGTAGAAGGGTCCGTGGAGAAGTTTATATTATAATGGTATACTATTTGTTTTTGGTATCGATAAGTACATACGTATGTTAAATACAATACTGAACTTTGTTTCGTATTTTTGTCTTAATTAATTATGTTACGAAAATAGTCTCTAGAATAATAAAGTGCTCAGGCATTTTATTATTCAATTAAAACTTATCAGAAATTAAAACTATGATAATATTTTTGACATGATAAATAAAAATAAAAAAGTAATATTTTTTTTGTTTTGATAGATTACACTTTTTTCATAATATGGTTATAATAACGTTACCAGGACGTTATCAAGCTATACATAGATATAGTTTAACAAATCGTTTTAAAATAATTTTAAATATTATTTCTTTCTACGGCTTTCATTTTTTACTAAATATTTAGACAAAAATAAGCTTCTGTGATATGTAGGCAAATTCTACTTCGATATTGATTTTATTGTACGATAGGTAAGTTTTATTTAAAAGAAGCATACATAATTAGTTATTACAATATTTGGCATTAAATTTGGCATTTAAAAGTTTGTTTAAAGTTTGAATGTAGTTTGAATAGATATTATTTAGAATGAAATTTTAGAGTTAGTATTACCAGTTAGGTAGTATAGTTAATAATAAAGGTACTAGCTGTATCATCTCAACTATTCTGTGTTACTTGTGATCCTAATTTAATGTAAAAAACACTAAGGTAAGTAATATGGACTTAGCTGTATAAATTACTTAACTTTTTAACTAACAAAATTATAATCACATTAAAAGAATATGAAGTATACATTAAAAACACAATATACTTTTAGAGCATTTTAAGTGACTTAACGTAAATACTTCTGTTTTGCGAGAATTCCTTATTAAAAGTATTTTTTAGGCTTAAAAATATTTACTAAGTACTCAATTATTTTTAAAATAAAGATCGCTTCAAACGTCATTTGCTCTTAGTGCTAATACAAAAATAATTTTTAACGTTAGACGATTAACACATTTACTTCAATATTTATATAAATAAAGTCGAGGTTATAAAATAGGAGACATCGTTAATGAAACACAGTTTTCGAAAAAAAATTCCAACTAGAGTTCTAATGCACAAAACGATAACTAACTTAAAAAACAAATCGACTATATAGAATATATTAATTATAAATTAAAAATAAATTAATATTTATATTACCTACTTACGCCATTAACTGCTTTTTATTTTGGATACTATTTATTATTTAATGAAATTATTTTCTCAACTTCTGCCACAAAATCTTTCTTCAGGATTAGAAGTGATGCGGCGAGTTTGTGTAAGAAATGATCATTACGTTTTGTGCAATAGCTCTCGATCAACTTGCCATTCTAATAATTCGTTCGGATACTAGGACGGAGTGCCGTTTGTTTTTTTTAAAGTTTATGGGCTTCCTGGTTCTTCTTCTTGGTGGTGTTTTGCGAGTGCCAGCAGGATCATTGTGAGCTGCTTCCTGCTGATTTTGCCATCGCTGCTGTACTCTACACCTTGAAGGATCGTTTCTTCAAATTCTAGCAGGTCTTGAGCGTCATAATCCTGAAAATCATAATTGATAACCTTATTATTATTAAAATCTTTGATTCGTCACAACATTCTTAAGTTTATAACCGAATAAAATACAAATTACTGAGTACCTATATTGATTAGTTCCGCTAGATCATAATTTATCAACTAGTATGCTATATTTTTTTATAGAAGAGGCGTTAATATGAACATGCGGCTCACCTGATGATAAGTGACTGCTGCCGACTGTAATATTGCAACACGCATGCCAGGCGTGGCAAAAAATATCCCAATTAAGAGGCCAACGATGGGGGAGGCCTATGTTCACTAGTGAACTTATTATATATTAAAAAAATTCACACTAATATTTAGAAAATCCAAAGTGCTCGCCTCATTCGTTTAATTTTGATGAAAAAAATAAATTATATTCCTGACTTTTAAATATATTATTTACATGTTTTAAATTTTATCGCAGCTAGTGTCACCTACAGGGAAAAAAGTTAATAACATTATATCAAAATAAATCGATTACACAAAGTATAAAATCGATATAGGCTGTATCGTACACGTGTCCTTTGTCTATCAAAGACTAAAAAAATATGAAAGCGCCTTTAAATTTTCAATGGCAATAAAACATATAGAAATTGAAAATCGTTTTGTTAACACACTACACAATAATTGATGTAATTCTGAATATAATAAGAATTCGGATCGCTACGCCAAGTAGCATAATCATTAAGAATCAAAATGCGGATGCGTTACAACCTTATGCATTATTACCAGTTAAAGTGTATCTGGTTTTCTACACTCACCATACTAAACAGCACCACTATGTTACTATTTTATGCTGATATTCATCATTTAATCTGAAGCAATATTGCACTGAAGCTTTGATTAACCAGTATAAACAGGTTACGTACCTGTTAGGTTACGTACAGGTTACGTACGTCATTTAAAAAATATTTTTTTGTTAAGCTCATACAAAATAAAAAACTGAAAATGTGTAGGTAGTAAAAGCTCCGTGTAAGTATTATTATAGAAAGAAGTAAGAATGAACTTGTGGAAAATGGACCATTTTAGAATATCAACATTAAGGTTATAAATGGTATGAAAACTAGCCACGTTTAAACAATACAACGATAACCTTTCACCAAAAATTCCACATATGGATTTTCTTTTGTATCGTGAGGGTAGTTTACAATTTACATACACAAATTTTACAAGGACAAACATTCAGACCCGCATCAATTACTTGTAGGCTATACAAATACTAGTTCCGAGCGGGATTCAAATCTGCAGCCCTTGGCGTTGCAACTCAACGCGAATCCACTGCGCGTCAATAAGCAAAGACTCAAAAAATCCAATATCTAAGCAAATAATCTCTAAAATATTTTTTTTTATTATAAATAGTATATGGGATAGAGTATCCAAATCATTAACTCATTCATTACAGCAAGTCAAGACTCTACTGCTGAACCTAAACTGTCACTCTTGAAGGGCGGGGTGAAAAACGAAGTTTGTTATTACTTTAAGGTGTAGCTAATTAGGGAGACGCCCTGCTGACTCAGCTGCTCATCCCTGTTTCATTAAGCTCCGTCGCCTCTTACGACGTCTACGAGATGATATGGAGTAGCGGATTCCCCAATTCAAATAAGCATTTATTCACTTATTTACTATCCTTTATTAAACCTTACTCAAAGGTAAAGGAACAGAGAAGACGGGCTTAGTGCTAAAAGCATTCTCTGCCTGATATAGCGTTGAATGTGGTTAAAGAAAAAAAAAGCACAATGGGAAAATAAAAACGAGCGGCCTTACAGTAGTTGCATATAATGTGTAACATCTGACATCTCACCTTGGTAATTACATTATATCAATAACATTACATCCTGAAAAAAGCTGTTCGTTTTTTTTTTTAAATCAAAACTAAAATTATCAATTGATGAGCGACAGAAATTAACCTCAAAATTTTTAAAAACTAAATACTGAAATATTTATTCGAATAATTGTTCATTATCAGTAGACAGTACATTTATTAATGTAGTTTATACATGTAAATTAGTTTATTTATCAGCACACTTAACTACCACCGCGTGTGCTCAAAGGTCAAATGAACGCGCGCTTCCCCGGCTTCCTGTTACACACTTCCGTCCCTTTTCATGAAATCATCCCACAGATTGCGCGAAAACGAGAGGCAAGATGTTACACATCAAAAATTCAAACATACTGCTGCAAAATAAACCTACGTACATAATATTTTTATGACATATACATTTTTATGACGAGACGGCGGAGGCTGCGGATAATCTATCATCCCATTTTGTTCTTCCGTAGGTGTCGTAAGGGGAGACTATGGAAGTTGCCGGCGGATCTTGTGGCTCCCGACACATGACAGTACACACAGTTGTTTACAAAATACCGTAAAATACGAAATTGGACGTCTGTTACTGTGATTGACAATTGGCTTGCCAAGCGTTTCCCCTGCAACAGGACAGGTCCGTGTCCAGTAATTTTACAGGCTAGAAGAAAAATTATTTTGTAAGCATGTCGATCTGAGATCGATTAATCGGGAAATCGATTTCTTGTGCAAAAAATATCGATTTTTAAAATCGATATACAGTACTACTGAATCGATCCAGTGTATCGATATTTCACCCTTGAAAATCGAGATCGAATCTTATTCTGTTTATATAAGAACTATAAAACTATTTACAATTAATTGTATGTACCCAAACTCGCAAAGAATGAAAAAAGATGGCTTTTCTATTCAAAACTCACAAAACTGCTGTGTGCTGTTTCTTTCGCCTCTTGTTAATGGATTAAAGAAATAAAATATAAGTTACGTTTATAATCTGTACTTTGGTGTATCTTTTGATGTTGTAAAAATGTAAAATCTGAAAGCGAATTAAAAAGAGATCGATTTTTAAGAAATCGATCTTTTAGACCTCGATTTTTTTTATTATTGATTCGTCAGATCTCGATTCAAATCGATTTAAAAAAAAAAACGATATTTTAGGAAAGAATCGACATCCTTATTATTTTATATATTTTAATAAGTCGTATATGTATCTAACACGCTTACGTACCTTCTTAACTAACTCTAGTAGATCTTTTAGAAATCCGCGCAACTCTTCGTTTTCTATTGAGCCATTGTTGTCCTGGAAATGAGACGAAAGAGGATATTGCAGGTTATTTTAAAACAAATTATTTTAGAAGTTCATTTATATACAGGATTATTTTTCAAAGAGTAGCCAAATTTTAAACTTAAGTTTAAATATACAAATAATGGTATACCGTTATTGCAGTTTTTGAAAATACGAGTGAATAACGCTTCCAATTTTATTTGAAATTGTCCCAAATAGAAAGTGATTTTTGGGCAATAACGTTTTTGCTTACCGATCGACCTTAGCGAATGTGTGCGTGTATAGTAAAATCTGTTAAAATAATGCATTACCACGCATTTTGATTTTAAAAGAGTTAAAGAACAGAATGTTTGAAATTTTCTTAAATTAATTTTTTCCATCGTTTGCCTATTTTACTTATTCTGAACCTTCTCTGCAAATTTGGCTGGTTATTGCAAAACAATCCTGTATAAATACTAGCTGTCACCATCCCGATCTGATTCGCTAACCATTTCGATGTAAGCCCTCGACAAAAGTTCATAGCATTATAACAGTATTTTTTATGCTATTTTACAACTTCAATACCAAATTTTATAAGAACTCGTCCAGCCATTGAAGTGAAACAAACATACCTTCACATTTTATAGCATTATGTAAGAATTAGCATGATACTAATAATATTAGACCTGAAAAAAATATGTATAAACAAAACCCATTGATCATGAGTTGTGATAATCGGTGCGAGAACGCTAGGTTATAGTCATTGATTTGTCGTGTTGTCATTAGTTCCTGCAAAATTTCGTACGTTTGTGTACGTTATGTGACTACATAATGCGTCATTTAGTCATCATACTTAAAGTATTTTATTCCGTTATGGCAGGTTGGTTTTACTTGTAATGTTATCTCGGAAACCAAAGCCCGGGATAATAACGAGTATAAAACATTTGTACTCGAAAATAACATTTCAGATAATCAAAACTCTCATCCATCCCATTACGAGGTATACAAGTCCAGTGCTGAACATAGGCCTCCCCATTTTGTCACAGTTGCGATGCTTGGCAGGTCGGTTGATAACTGCAGCTTTTTATAATTTTGAGTTATTATCATTGAGATAATGCTGCCAATCTCCTGTTTCAGTTTCCTTCTTCTGTCTCTTACAACACCCAAGGAAAAATATAGGACAGTATTCTTACATCGCCGCTACACGGTATAATCAAAAAGCTGCTCTAAGAAAATTAACACAAGTTAATGATTTTTTTTAAATTTTATATACACTTTATGAGATGTAGGCCTAAGGCCCGGTTTACATTTTGAGAAGTGACAAGTGCGAGTGGCATGGTAGATAATGCCTTAAGGCAAATGCCTAACTCCACCCTTCGTATCCTTTTTTTTCTAAGAGGACGCAATAAAGATTCTAAAATAAATAAATAAATGAGTGCGAGTGGCAAGTGCAATTGACAAATGACAAGTGCTTAGTGCGTGTGAACTGATAGTGACAAGTGACAAGTGCAAATAAAATACGCACTAAACACTTGTCAGTTGCCACTCGCACTTGCCACTTCTCAAAATGTAAACCGGGCCTTAAGCCTCCCACATCTCATTTTACTCACACTTATCACTTGCCACTGCCTATTCACATGCACTAAGCACTTGTCATTTATCAATTGCATTTGCCATTCGCACTTGTCACTTCTCAAAATGTATACCGGGTCTAACGCATTATTTAAAGAACGCGAAGAGTCTGATTTTTGTCCACTGAAATTGTTCATTGAGCAAGCTATGTGCTAGCTGATTCAACTTGCACTAGATGGGTGTGCGGGAAAATATTTCTACCGACACAATTAAACACAATGAAGTTAAAACAATAAAAACATACTTACTCTATCATATAACGAGAACACCCTTTCGATATCATCTTTTGTTAATTTTGTCGCTCCCTGAAATGACAGCAATTTCATTCTATTGAATTAAAGGTAATAGTTGTAACAAAATATCACTCGAACTACTTACAATACCTACTTGCCTATTTTTTAAATAAACTAAATACGTACATACTAAAATTAAAATCTATTAAATAATTCTTTAAATTTTATCAAAGACTTTGATTACGAATAGAATATTATGGTTAGTTTAGGCATATTTAATGCTTTGAAGCTAATGCTAAAACAGCGAAAGCCGAAAAAGGCGATTCAAAATATCAAAATTCAAATCATGTGCAACCATAGAATACTACAATACACAATAGAATGGCTGTCAACCATATTTTGTACGAAGATCGGCGTCGCCGGGAGCACACATACAAGCAATTACGTCGTATTATCACTACTACAAACCCGATTCGCTGTGTTGACAAATTGAGCGAATTTTCGACACGTAATTATTCTACGATTTGCCATTTTTAAATAATTTGCATGCAGCGAAGCTTGAGACAAAAATTGGAAACGATTGATTGTGTTGACATTTATAGGTGTGAATTGACATGTTATTGGCTACACGGGCTCCGCCCACTTCCCTGTTCCATTATGTGTGTATTATAGTATTCTATGTGAGCAACCCTACATTTAATTCATTGTTACACCTTTGACCTTGAAGCGAACAGCTAAGTACAATGTTTACTTCCAATTCGTTGTACTTATTATTATTATCAGACAAGTGATCCGAGCCAGTTTCGCCTGGATACGATCTATTAGTGTTACGTTAGTTATATTTAAGCTGTTATCAATTTTTGATTTTATCAAAAATAAGTTTTTTGGATAACATATAGCCTAAACCTAGATCCAGGCATTACTCTGTATCTGGTCGTAAACCTTCATCATAATCAGTTGAGCCGTTCTGAAGATTAATCCCAACAGACAGACACACAGATGGACAGAAATTTTAATAAATTTATGTTTTAAGAACATACAAATAACCCCCCTAAGCTTAATAGAGACAGTTAGTTCAATATTATAACCTAAATTTAATTATATGTTTTGATTATATTTTCTATAGAAAAGGTGACAAACGAGCACACTCTCCACCTGATGGTAAGTGAATGCTGTGGCCCATAAACATTTACATATATTCTCGTTTAAAAATCGAATAAAAATTAAAAAAAATCTATGCCATAGGCTTTTTACTAGGTCTAAAAAGTCAGCCAGTATTAAACAAATAGCCCAAGCGTCCAAAGTAATAAAATATTTCAGCGGTCGGATGAACGTATCTAATTGTTTAGTTGATCAAATACAAAAAGTCATATGACACATGATGTGGGCAAGCTTTTCTTTATTTATAATGCTTCAGATAAAATCCGCAGTCGCCTCTTTTCGCGAGTTATTTTCTACAACAAATGTTTTTTTTTTTCATTATCAATAGTTACTCAAAAAGATTTGTCCATAAAAATCAAAGCTTGCTTGCTTATGGATTTTTTTAATTTCATTTTTTTATCGTTTCAATTATTACTAAATGTTATTTTTTGTTGGAGGTATAGTTAAATTTTCTAAAACTTGACCACTTTTAAAACTTTTGGATAACATAAACCCCTAAATATACATATATACATAAACTCTCACGTTTATCACTGCGGTTTTCCATTAAGCACGATCCCGACACACCTCTCTCAATACTTTTGTATTTATAAGGAACCTAGACCACAGATTAGATAATAGTTACTCCTAGACGTTTTACGAGCATACATACATAGCACTGGTTTAGAATGTTAATAAAAAATTCGCATATACACGTATCGCTAAGGGTGCTCTTAATTTGGCCTATTTTCAATTTATCGCCATTTTGGTCCTTACATTTCTGTCGAAGACGTCTCTTGCCGACTCTACCACACTTCTGAATTCTATGACTACAACTTCCGTAATCATTTTATTAAATAATTAAACTAGCTATTCCCCTCGACTTTGCCCGCATGTAATTATGTGTTTTAATTATCTTTCGCGGAACTCTAATTCTTTTTCTAAAATAAAAGTAGTCTAAGTTAATCTTTCAAATATCAGCTATCTGCTAGTGAAAGTCTCGTTAAAATTGGACCTCCATTTCGAAGATTAGTCGGAACAATCAGACAAACAGACAAAAATTTCGAAAATTGTTTTTTTGTTATAAGTATCGTATATAATTTATTATGCATATAGTAAAAAGCTGTAATTTTGACATTATATAAAGACACTACAATTTTAATTATTTGTCTATAAAAATAATTAAAATTGAAGTGTCTTTTATGACACTTTAATTTAGTAGTATACAGATATATAGTATATATATACCTAATAGTGTATACAGATAGCTGCTTTTTAAATTGAATCTACTACTTTTTTGTTATAATGTGGTACAAAGTACAAAATAGAAAAGAGCGACAGTCATGAAGAAATCTTTCAAAAAATCTTTTAAAGAGTGTTTAAAATGTTACAAATAGATTAGTAGGTATCTAATAAATCTTGTATCTACACTGTTGGTGTGCCAAATAAATAAATAAAGGGATGTTCATCCGAAATAATGTTAAAATAATATAGCATAAAGCTAAAGCTAATTACACGCAAATTAAGAACATTTATAGCATAGTATATTAATAGATAACACGGTAAATTTATATCATAGTAAATTTATAATATAGTAAGTTTATAGCAGAGTAAATTTATAGCAAGGTAAATTTATAGCATAGTAAATTAGGGTCACTTATACTACCATCGTAACGAGAAAGAACGTATCTGACAAAAATTAGGTTTAAAATAATAATAATTAAATGGAACACATTTATGTACATACGTGTATGTTTCTTTTGAAAGAAAATCACCGGGTTTGCACAAGAACAAAAAAGAAATCTCGGAACATATATTTATAGTTCATGCAAATACTTATTCCGTGCGATTACGACCTGTCGGAATCAGTTATTGCCTAGTAATGTGCATTTTTGTCTTCCTTGTTACGAAAAAATAAAAATAAAAAATTGGTTTAATACAGTTAAAAGACTGACACTACGCCACAGAAACAGAATATCTAATGATGGTGTTCGGCGCCGCCATTCCCTTCTTTTAATGTTTCCGATTAAGTATTATATAACTCAATTTTGAAAATGATGTAGATATGTCTTTTTACGACGATGGTAGCATAATATTATGTGAAATATAATCATTATATAGTTACAGAATTTGAATGTTAATAGGTATATTTATTTAAAACATTGAAGATTATGCTCTGTATCTATAATATCGTAATATCAATTGGTTATTATGCATTACATAATTATTAGAGCCTAACTGTAAATAATCTTTTCGGCTGAAAAAGGAAAGGTAATTCGGTATTGACTTCAATTTTTGGCTGCAAAACGGAATTAAAGATTTTGTTTTACTTACTAGTTACAACAGTTTTACACTGTATCAAATTTAGGGTCTATATTTATCTACAGGGTTATTTTGCAATAACCGGCCAAATTTGCAGAGAAGGTTCAGAATAAGTAATATAGGCAAATTGTGGAGAAAAATTAATTTAAAAAATCTTAAACATTTTTTTAATAATTTTGCTTAAGTTTAAAACGAGTAGCCAAATTTTAAACTTAAGTTTAAAATTTGGCTACTCGTTGAAAAATGACTCTGTATATAGATAAGTTGCTTTTATTATAATTTTATTGTATTATTGTTTTACTGACCAAAAATGAAAATAGACAAAAATAACTATTTTGGCCGAAAACCGAACACGGAATTCAGTCAGACCCTAATTATTACCTATTTACATATTTTAGGTTTATTGACGAATAATAAACAGTTGCTGGCAATATAGCATTGTTACCCAGCGTATCAAGCTACTTGAGGACTCACCTCTATGCCCTCCTATGAGTGCGGAGTGCGAAACATAAGCGAAGTGTTAGGATAGATACGTAGGAGATAGGCAAAACAATAGGAAGTGCCATGCTTTATTTAGATTATCTAGATTTTATTGCAAACTAGATTCTGCTAAAAGTGCTTTGTTAATTGAAAATTTTAGAACTATTATTTTAAATTTTAATTGTAGTAATTTAAGTATTTATTACATATATAATTTTTGGCACTTTATTTATTAAAAATAACAATATTATGAGAGGCTATGATGTGAAATATTAGAGCATCTCACAGTAACCCAAAATAATAAAACTTAAAGTAATGTCGGTGAATGTGTGACTTACGACATATATAGTGTTAGTGTTGTGAAGAAAATAGCAGTAAATAGCAAATTGTTAATTATATAATAACTACTCGTGTATTACGTGAGATGTGAAATAGCAATTATTTGTTTTCGATAAGCATTTTTATAATTTTACATGTGCAAGATTTAATAAGTGCCATTCGCCTGGTTGTTAGGCTCAAAATTGATTGAAGAGATGTGACTATAAATTTGAAATTGTAGAAGGTAACAGCTGCAATCGTCTGATAGTGAGAATGAAGCTGAGTAAGGTCGACAATGAAAATGCGAGCACAGTATATCGTGTAAACGTGAATATTAAAAGCTATCATGCAAAATGTAAACATCGCATCAGATTTTGCTAAGTCTGTGCATGCTTTATTTAAAACGCACAACCTTTTTAATTATGAAAATGTAAATAAGTTATTAGATAGGTTAGTTCAGCGTTTATGTACATTATTGGTCGATTAAATAAACCACAATATATTTACGACATACGGCATTATTCTTAAGATAAACTATTCAATTGATTTTTTTTCAAATTACTTAGCAACATCTGTATACATTGCATTGTTGTTACAATCGTAGCATGGCAAACATAGAAATAAGAAAATTTGGTATTAATTCTAAGTTGAATAAGTTATTAAATTTTAATTTGCAGTTAAATATACAAACAAGTCGATTAGTTTAAAATGACACCAAATTTTGAGAATACGCAATATAATAGAACGAGATATGGAAGATGATCTGTGTATGATGCTACTTAAATCAATAAATGTGAACGTACCTTAAAGACCTGTCTGCAAAGGAAGTTTTCTTTTACTGGGAGCAACCTGTAAAAGTTTATGGACCGTTCAAAGTATATATATATATATATATATATATATATATATATATATTATACTATTGTTTGTTAGATTAAGTCAATGGATTTTTCACAGGGTTGTTATTTTATAAAAATGAACATATTAAATGAAACTTGTTGTTATTTAAGTAAGGTAAAATCACAGCTAATAATACGTGTCGCAGGTTTATGGTAAAATCAGGTTATTAACCAATAAACTAGGCATTTTTTGATCAAAAACCGAACTGATAAGCACAGGCCTGTTCTCATTTATGACAGGGTTTTAAATGACACTTGTTATTAAAGTAGTAAAAAAGTAAAATTACAGCCTATAATACGTTCCACTGCTGGGCACAAGCCTCCCCTCATTTCTGAGAGGGTTTTAGGGCAAGGAAGTGTCTGCCGCGCTGTACCAATGCGTGTTGGCGAACTTCATATGTCTTCGAAATAATTTTTTTTCTTATTCCTCAGTAATGCAGGTTTCCGCACGATGTTTTCCTTCACCGCCGAGAACGTGGCAAATCAACACTTAAAATTGCAATTAACAGTTTCATTGGTATTTGAAAGTTTGGCAGCCTTGGGCGATATCAGCCAGGGCAACATCAACAATCAGCATGGTCATTGGACGCTATTATATAAAGGAATTCAGCAGAATTACCCGTGGTAGTTCGGGGGCTAAGCGCCCGCTGTAAATTTCACAGTACGCGAGCAACCCGGGTTCGATTGCCGCCGGCACCAATGATATTGTTAATTGCAATTAAAAGTGCTCGAATGTGAAGAAAAACATCTTGAGGAAACCTGCAGGTCTGAGAAATAAGAAAAAAATTAGAAGACTTGTGAAGTACACCAACACACATTGGGGCAGCGAGACAGTTCCTTGCCCTAAATTTCTCAGAAATGAGAAGAATCATGTGCCCAGCTGTGGAATGTATATAGGCTGTAACTTTAACTTTAAGCAATTAACTCAAAATTATTATAAGACCTTATTCGGTTTGAGGTAATCGTTCCCCGTTGATACCGATAAAATTGTAAATTGCAATTTTACGTTAGAATGTATCACGCGTTCGGCGGTGACAGAAAACGTCATGAGGAAACCGGCATGTATAACAAATTAAAAATAGAAATATCAAAGTCATATGAAATCCCCTACTCATTAAGGCTATCGGGGCGAATCAGCTCAAAAACCCTTTCAAAAATGAAAGGGATTTTGAGCTGATCCGATTAATTTTACTTTATTTTAGTGGCTTAGTCACCGTACAAACAGTATTTTATATATAAATTCATACTAAATTCCAGAACGTTATATTAACTGAGAATAGATATTAATTAAGTTAAGTTCGGTCGGCTGTAACAAGATTAAAAGTAGATATCAGATATTCCATTTGGTTTGAATTTCCATTTAGAGATACCTCAATTTCAGATTTAATGCAGACTATTTTAAGCGATATATTTATTACTTTACGGTATGCCGAATTTGATAATTATTGTCTTTTGGTACTAAATCTATACCTACGATATAAATATTAAATATAATGATTTGTACAATTTCATTTTATCATCATTTTCTTTTATTTAATAAAATAAGTAAAATTAAACACGATGAAATCCTTAAAATTAGTTTTATTTAATTGAAATCATTACTAATGATCATTACTTACTTTGCCATCTCAGAGAGTTGTAACTTCCCGTCCTTGTTGGAGTCAAACACTTGGAGCTGTGTATTACATTGAAAAAAAAAAATTAAATAAGTTTAATAGAGAAACCTCTTGTAGGTATTATATTAATAATAATCAACTTAATTTAGATCGCATTAAGGTATGTTTCCATTGAATTGTAATTCGCAGTGGTGCGATTGTTTAACGCTGGTGGGGTTGGTGGAAATCACTGCGTTATAATTATGATAACACTATCTTGCATAAAATAACATGATATAATATATGTATTGTGAATGTTGTATGACTTTAAAAAATCATTTTTCAAAAATTATTAAACAAATAAAAAGTGTACTTGATTGGATTTTTTATATATCAATTGGCTTGATCACACTCTCGTAATTGGGATAAACTTCGTCGCCATTTTGGTAATTGGACTAAAGCGGGCTACATACGACACGATATCGGTGGCGATCTAGGGTGGAGTAGTGGGGATGCCTCCTAGATTGCCTCTAAATCGTGTCGTATGTAGGGCCATCCTAAGTCGTGGCCGATATCGCCTCCTTAATCGGCTGGCAGGAGCAAAAATGCTTCCTAGATCAGCCGATGCTTCCTAGATCGTGGCACCGCCCCCTCCTTACTGCGTGTGTGTAGGCGCATCGGCCCGATTTCTTTTGGCAGTCGCTGCCGGCAACCCTCGCGGAAGGAAGTTAACAAAACAGTGATACTGAATGACCTTTTTTATATAACAAAATTTTTACATTTTAATCATATAAACGGAGTAGAAGCCTATGGCACTGATATTTTACAAAAAACCAAAAAAAAAGTGAATAAAATAAATAAATTAATTGAAATTTTATCGAAATTCAAATCATATCCATCCTAGCCTGTGACCCTGCGAAGTGACATGGTCAAGAATGCCTACTAAACTAATTTTTTTTATTGCCGTTCGTAAAGTAGAGTGTATGATGTAAGTAAGGAGAAGATAAAGCCTCTCCTCAACAACTAACTCCTATTCCAACGCTATCAACACAAGACCGCACTCATATCTCTTACAACTCCACAAGACCACTTCGATCTCTTACGTGCCTTCATCCTCTTATCAACAACTAACTTCTACTCCTTCACCATCTCCACATCAACAAACAAGTTATATAAAAGGGAGTATGTCCGAAATTAAAGGTTTCTTTATGTTTAAAAAAAGATATAAGCTATTTTATTTTCTGATAGTTTTACTCCATAAATAAAGATTACATTAAAAAAAAGTATACATATTATTATACAAAAGTATTTTATTTCCTTGTTTGTTGTGTGTAATACATAACCAGATTTTGACCAAAGCAGAAATGAACAAAGAGAAGAAATAACTAAATAGCATAGGTAGGAGAAATTGACGTTTTTATATAAGTGGCGAAATCATTTCTAGAAGGTTATAAAAACTGTCTTCATCCATCCGGAGAAAATTAATCACGTCCTTGGATTACAGGCCATTTAGTACGTTTATGTGGCTTAATTTTTTATCTCTTTTGGAGCCATTTTTTCACCCAGTAACTTCTCTTTTTCTATTTTCGAATAAATTAACCGAGATGGCTAATGCCAAACCAACACGGTGGTGTTTTAAGAGAGTCGGAGGTATTTTGAAGAACTCTACCGCATATGCATTCCGCTCCAAGTCCGAACGCGTACTGCTAGGCAGGCCCGTGTGTAAGGTCTATCCCGATAAAAGCCCCGATTTCTTTCCACCCTAGATCGCCACCGATATCGTGTCGTATGTAGCCCGCTTAAACATGCGCCATGTTTAGGCTAATATATGTTTTTATTTTCACAAATCAAATTGAAACAACAAACAAAACAATTTAAATTAAATTAATTGAAATTGCGTTTATAAGCTATTTCTTACGATTATATCGTAGGTAGGTTCAAATGCAGTGTCAGAGAATATATCCATACCAGAAAAAAGTAACAATTGGCTTTTTTACATACATTCTGATACAGCTGATTCTAAACTTAAAACAGAAATTTGTCCCTGGGCTTAGGATCGGAAGCTATGCTGTACTTGCGCATACTGCAGTCAAAATTGTCAATCAATTATCAATTTAATTGTCAATCAATAATCAATTATTAATTTTGACTGCATGGCTGCAGTCAAAATTAATAATTGTTGTTCAAAGATTATTTTGGAACAAGGGAAAAGGCAGACGTAGGTACCTTATAACAAGTGGTATAGGTGTAGGCAGATAATGTAGTGTAGAATAATTATAGGAAACTTGGATGTGGAAGGCGTAAGATCCGACCACGTGAAAGGCTCTAAGGGAAACAGCTCTAAAGCAAGACATTTAAAAATGATAATCTTCTCCAGACCGAATTTCGGTCACGGCGGCCAGCCTCAACGAAGACTAGCCATCGGCGCAGGACAGGATTATAGTGCCCAAGTACAGGTGCACTCTATATTCCCTCACGCTAATAGTCCGATGGGACGGTAAACTGATACGACCCGAGAGAGATCAGGCGCAGGACCAACGGCTTTACGTGCTTTTCGAGGCACGGGAGTAAGACACCGTCAACTTTCTGAATCCGCGCAGCTACTGAGAATTTCTTGACGGGAAAACTCAAAATCTGTTATTTTTTGGACCCGATCCGGAATTCGAATCCGGACCTCATGATCAGCAGTCGCGTTTACAACCACTAGACCAATGAGGCAGTCTAAATGACACGGAGTCAAATAGAATTTTAATAGAACAACTTGTAATTCTATCTTACAAAATGTTATAATTATTATACCCACCATAGTATCCGTATATTCTATAAGTTTGTCTTCAGATACATCATTGATCTTCTTCGCTTCCTTTAAAAGATCGCGAAGAAAGTTCTGGAAACAGTTCATCATCATTTTAAAATGTTATTCTACAAAAGTATTCGTAACTAGCTTTGTTTATTATAAAATAAATTAATTGTCTTGTCCTAAATAGAAGTAACAACTCCACCGCGCTGCATGAATATTTAATTTTAGTATTAAGTTGATTTAAAAAAAGTTAAGTAATACTGTAGTTCAATTTAGATTTGTTTTTATTTTTCTCCCAATTATTAGTCCTAAGTTTAGGTTACAAATTACAATATAATTTTCTTTAATAAATAATCAAAGGCATCAAAATTATTACGAGAAAGGATGATTTCGAAAGCTGCTTTCGTTTTATGATGCCAGGCTAGCAGTCTTTATACTTGTTAGAGTAATGCTGCAGCTATATTATGGGACAACTCGACGGGTGAAGGACCACACTCTCACAGAATACCAGCGCAAATTAGTAGCTCAATGCTGCTGTGTTTCGTATGGTGATTGTAAAGAGTCGGAGACCCTGGGTGATAACGCATTTTAATTTTGAATCTTAATCGAGGATAAATGTAGATTTCTTTGGGCCACAGCATCCACTTACCATCAGGTGGGCTGTGTGCTCGCTTGTACCCCTTATTCTATAAAATAACTATATAGGAAGTTGGCATTTATGACTAACGATCATAAGTAGAAAAGAGCGCTACAAGTCGAGTTCAGAGTAGAGTATTTTAATCACTGGTTCGAAAAAAGCTTTTGCCCATTGAAGAACGGCTAATAATTTACAAAGATGTAAAATTTATTATAAAACTAGCTGTCCTCAGATAATTAGCCTGTTTGTAACTTAAACTTTTAGTTTATTTGCGCGGAACCCTTATTCTTTTTCTAAAATACATCAGCTATCTGCCAGTGAAAGTCCCGTCAAAATCGGTCCATCCATTTTGGAGATTACCCGAACCAACAAACAGACAAAAACAATTAAATAAAAAGTGTTTTTGTTATAAGTATCGTCAATACTTTCATACTATGCCTTTAGTAAAAAGCTGTTATTTTGAAATTATAAACAGATCCTTCATTTTTATTTATTTTTATAGATGATTATGAAAACAGCTTTGAAGTGAGCACTTGTCATCGATACTAAAAAGCCCTTTTTATGTAGATGTGAAAATCTTTAACTTCGTATTAGAACATGATGGCTTAGGTCCGTGTTTTGTGGCATTCCTTGGGGGAGGCCTATGTTCAGCTGTGGATAAAGGGCTGTGATGATGATGATGATGATGATGATTAGACAGACCTTTTTGTAGGACTTTTACAATTCATTAATTACATCGCTCCATTAATAAATGACCGATTATAAAGTCGAGTAACTGATGAATAAATAATGCACTTACATTAGTTTTTCGTTAATAAATATTTTAATTAAAGTATTAATTCTTTTTATATCGAGTTTTTTTGTACCTTACCATTAAGGAGCTGTGTAAGGACAAACGTTACCTTCAGTTCGTCAGCCTCGATGTATCCGCTGCCGTCCGTGTCATATTCTCGCCAGATCTATGTACAGTTAATAAAACATCAATAAAATGTTTAAATTACAGCCTAGTAGCATAACCGTATATTAGCGGTGTAAGAATACCCACTAACCCATATCATCCCGTGGGTGTCGTGAGAGGCGACAGAGGGCAAATAAAATAGATGGGCAGTAACATCTTCCTTATAATAATTCAAAGTATTAAAAACTGTGCTCGTAAACTCCCCCTGTCAAGTATGGCAACTATGGCAAAATCCTTCCTATGAGGCAATCTATGGGATTGGCCTATGTTGAGCAGTGGACTTTCATAGGATGTTACCCACGGGTTATAAAAAGTGTTATAACTTTAATTGTACTTTTGATATGGCAAAGACATACAGTAGCCTTCGCCGGTGCATGCCGGTTCGACCGATAAAGTATCATGCCTCACAGGATACAGGCGTCGAGTGAATTTATTTATTCTTTTGTAATGCGTACAGCAAGGGAGTGAAATAACTTGCCGATGTCTGTCTTTACGTCTGATTACTGTCGGGGACGTCTTCAATTTAAGAGTGAATAAGCTTTTGTTACGCTTAGATTGCGCAAAGTACCATATTGGGCTTCATCATCGGTTGTCATCAGGTAAGATTGTAATCAAATAATAGCTTAATATAAGGAAAAAAAGTTGGTAAATCCAACAAAAGTTCGTCAGTAAAAAGCTCAATTAGACACATATTTCAAGAAATCTAGGTAGCAATAATGTATGTAAAAATTGCAAAAATAAATGGAGTGCATTTAAAAATCGACTAACGTAGGTTACGTACGTACGTAGGTACGTTATAGACCAAATTCAAGTTTTATTTAGTCTCCTTCCCCCTCCCAATTGAGCGTCACCCAACCGCGCCCAGGAAAGTGTCCCGTAGCGCGGTTTCTTCAGTTTTAAAGAAAACCGTACACGATAATTGAAAAGTGTGTTCCGTTGAGTCTGAAGAATCCCTCACTGAGCATCCAATCTTAAGATGCCCTAGTCTTGCCGAGCACTGAGTAAAAAAACTCCGTTACCTATTTTACAATATCAAAGCCATCCACCTGCCAAAATTCACTCACGACGATCACTGCGTCAAAATTCTTAATACCATTCGCACTTTATATTTAAATCTTTATACTTCGTAGTGTGCTACTTTTAAAGCAAATAAGATATGTACCTTCATAAACTCCACACTGGACTCCAACGGATTGTCGAATCTGAATAATAACAGAAAGTTTTCCTCCATAGGCAGCAATTGAGCTAGCTAGAAAAATAGAACAATATAGCTTTAGTAATAAGATACAATAAAAGCTAACTTACACAGTCTGACGAATCAGTAAGTTACAGGCTATATACGTCCCACTGCTCGGCATTTCTCAGACATGCAGGTTTCCTCACGATGTTTTCTTTCACCGTCAAGCACGTGATAAATTAGCACTTAAAACTTCAATTAACAATTTCATTGGTGCTGGTGGGGATCGAACCCAAGTTTAAGTTTAAGTTAAGTGAAATTTACAGCGAGCTCTAACCCCACAAGCTACTACGGTTCTGTAAGGTAAAGTGTCACGAATCAATAAACGGAAGTGGAAATAGGCCGGCCATTTAGTTCAAAGAACTGACAAACGATGGGAAAAAGTTTCTGAAGGTGCTTTATTGGGCGACCCACAAGATGAAGCGACGATTTGCACTGATGCACGCACTATGCAAGTTGGCACATGTAGATGGCTCAGTCACAATGTTTTGTTAAAAGTTAAAGTTATAGTCTATATACGTCCTACTCCTGGAAATAGGCCTCTCGCTCATTTCTGAGAGGGTTTTAGGGCAAGGAATTCTCCGCCGCGCTGCCCCAACGCGTGTTGGCGAACTTCACTTGTCTCCGAAATATTTTTTTCGGATTTTTCAGAAATACAGGTTTCCTCACGATGTTTTCTTTCACCGCCGAGCACGTGTTGAATCAGCATATAAATTGCAATTAACAATTTCATTGGAGCAGGCGGGGATCGAACCCGGTTTGCTTCCGTACTGTGAAGTTTACAGCGAGCGCTAACCATCTCAGCTACCACGGCTCTTGATTTGCGGTTCTTTGTAAAGGATTATATTTACCAGTGAATTTGTGATAGGGTGTTATGATGCAGATTAATTAAAGACGAAAATAAATTCTCTTATGACAACTTTTACTTTCGAATGGTTAAAAAGTTATTTAATAGTTTTAAACATTTAAAAAAGTATTTGCGACATAATAATTGTTGTAAAAATTAGCATTTAATAGATTTTCACATTGTTACCTCTCGTATATCTATCTTGCCGTCCTGATTGTCATCGTAGGCCTCCATGAAGCACGCTTTGAGCTCGACGAGCATCGCGTCGGATACGGCCTGTAAGTATAAACAAAAAATATATAATTATACACCTCTGTGTAGTGTACGGGAATCCACTACCCCATGTTATATCGTTGTTAGAGGGAAACAAATCAGGATTCTTTACGTGGCAGAGCCATGCTGCAGTTATATTATAGTTGTAGCACAATGGGTCGGCTCGACCTGGGAAGGACCATGCTCTCACAGAATACCAGCGTAAAATAGCAGCTTAATGCTGCTGTAATTCGTATGGTGAGTGTAGAGAACCGGAGACCCTTTTTACTAGAAACGAAGCATTCTGCATCGTATCTGCATTTTGATTCGTAATCGAGGATAGATGTTGATGTCTATGGGCAGGGCACAGCAACCACTCACCATCAGGTACACTGTGTGCTTGTTTGTCATCCTATCCTATAAGAAAAACCGGGGCAACTATGCCAAAAAGTTCGGTAAGTATACGGGAGCTATGGAATATAAGAGAAAAAAACAATTTTGTTATTAGACACAAAACTAATACAACTCATTGACACTAGGAAATTCTATATCGTAACAGCGTTGTAGATTCCCTGCAACACATCCTGAGTCAGAGACATTTCATTGTCATGTATGTTCAATGTAAGAATATTGTTATTTTGTATTCGTTTTATTTTTATACGCTTTGCTACATTTGATCAATTAACAATTTTTTTATAGAAGCGGACAATTATTTTATAGGGGGCACGATGACCTCTCTACCTCCGATGGTAAGTGATTACCACCGCCCATTAACAACTGCAACACCAGGGGAATTGCAGGTGCGTTTTCGGCCCTTTAAGAAAGGAGTATAAGCTCTTTTCACCAGTGGTAAACGATACAACACAGGGATCATACGAGAAAGAATACTCTTAGTAAAACGTACAGTGGTGAACCGTTAAGCACCCAGATGGTGTAGATGGTATGGTGAGTTTTGTTGCGATGTGCGTTCGTCAAATTTGGCGATAATTTTTAATGAAGGAAAAAATTAAGGTGATGTCTAGGTATAAAAATATAATGACGCAATGGATTTACTCAGCTTAAAGTAGTAAGTAGTAAGCTTAAATGTGATAAATTGCTAAAACTTGCTACAACACTTATATAAAATGTATAGAAGATAATATTGTCAAAAATTCTAAAGTTTTTTGCTCTTACATCAAAAATAAACGGCATATGAATAGTAAATATCCGAGTGCAATGTCTAATGGTAGTATAATAATAACAGATGGGTCTGATATATGCAGTCATTTCGATTCACATTTCTCTTCAGTATACACCATGGAAAATCGTGACAGGCTTAATAAATATGATTCAAATAACTAAATTTAACACATATAGATAACAATAATTATCATTTTGGCACTTTGGTATTGGATGAAAAATCAGTTTTAAAAAAATTAAAGGGCTTCGACCGAAAAAAAAGAGTAGGTACAGACTCTATATCCCCTTACTATATCGCTGAAGTAATCGCTACTTCTTTGTTTAACATATAATAAATCCTTACAAACAGGACGCTTTTCAGGTATGTGGAAGCTCGCAAAAGTTGTCCCTATACATAAAGCGGATGATGATACTTTAGTTAGTAATTATAGACCGATTTCAGTATTATCAAACTTTCCCAAAATTTTTTAATCATTAATATGTCCCTATATTCAAAATTATGCAAGACAGTTTATTACAGAAGATCAACATGGATTTGTCAAATTTCTTTCGCCTTGCTCTAATAAAGTTCGTCAAATTTGGCGGCTGAAATTAATCCGAACAATTCCTCTGAAAACTCCCTGTGGTAGATGCAATAGAAAATGCAAAGAGATGCAACATCTCTTCGCAGTGCCGATTGAGCGTAGTGTAGATCGAGCCGATCGTCAACGACGATTCGAGTTGCTCTGCGCTGGATATGGTCAAGTGGAAGGAAGCTGGCACTGGGAGTCCCGACGCAGCGATGGGAACAGTATTCCATGTGTGGCCGAACCTGCGCCTTGTAAAGTTACAAAACGGTGTGCCGGTATGAAATACTGTCCCGCTCTGCTTAGCACGCCAAGCTAGTTGCCAATTTGGCCTTCTCTTTCAGGTGGCCACGAAACTGCACATCATTCGATATGTGGACGCCGATGACTTCAATACTAGATGAAAGAACAAGGGGAGTGTTTGGAAACTGAGGAGATACAACAAAAGGGTTCTTTTAGCGGGTATTTTATTTTATATACAAAGGGCGAGGATTGGTTTGGATTGGGACTGATTACCTATGCAGTGGACTTGTGAATGGATGCATGAGTATTAGTAATGGATGAATGGATAAATATAACTTTACTTTCAATGTTATGTATTACTTGCTAATCAACGAAGTTACCTTAACTAGTGTAGACCGGCAGCCAGCCAACTCGCTGCGGCTGACTTCGGACGCTATCTGCTACTTGCAATAACGAGCCGATGTGATTGAACGACCTCGCATTGTTATGAAAAGTGTAGACTTGCGAGTATGTGACATATTGATATATTGTACACTACTTCCATATTACGGATTATTTTTATTTTAACAGATGTTGTTTTAAGGTGGTAGCGTTGTGGCGGCGCTGTCGTCGCTCCGCAAGCGAAAAACACCGAAGCCTAAATCACGCTAACAAAATTCCGAATAATAAACAGTATATATAGAACATCTCCGAGCTATCACACGGAGTGTTGGCCGCTCCCTGGGCAGAACACCTTGCCCGGCGGGAGATCTCCCCTTTTCCTTCCACGGCCACAGCATAAAAGGATTCTTCACCAAGCCAGAAAAATTTTAATAATCTTTAAAATGATCTTGTTTTTAAAAAATATAGAATAAGGGTGACAAACGAGCAGACAGTCCACATGTTGGTAAGTGGATGCTTCAGCCCATAGACATCTACATTTATCCTCGATTAAGAATCAAAACGCAGATGCGTTGTCACACCTGAGGACTAAGATGGCATGCCTCGTTTCCAGTAAAAAAGGGTTTCCGGACCTCTTTACTTACCATTCGAAACACAGCAGTATTAAGCTGCTATTTTACGCCGGTATTCTGTGAGAGCGTGGTCCTTCCCCAGTCGAGTCGGTCTATTCCTGCTACAGTTGCTTAGCAGTTCATATCAGCTTTTCCTTTTTTAAAGTAATTTCTTAACCCTTTTATGTAGACTCTGATATATCACAATCTCAAATCGAAGGAGTCATGTAAATAGTTATATTTCAAAATTAATCTCCTATTTTGCCACCCTTTGGGGTAAAAGTTTGTTTCCGAATTTGTATAAAAAAAGAATCATCAAAATTGGTTCACGTATGACGAATATATCGCATGACATACATACAATAACAACATACGCTCGAGTTGATAACCTCTACATTTTTTGAGGTTGGCTAAAAATATGACAAGTGTACAAAAAATACGCATAATTCAACCTATCTAATGTAGTATAATTAAAAGGTTTTCATTGTAGTAATACTATAAATGATTGGTTATAAGTGAAGTGAACGTAATACTACTAAATTATGAAGGTACGAGTATCCAATTTATATGAATATACATACTGGGATCAGGGAATGTAATGCGTTAAATTGACCGTACGCCAGACTAAGTGCCCCAGTGGACCGTACTCACCGTACTCGTATCACACGTGAATGGGTTCCAACAAATTTTCACGAAATATATTCCCCTGTCCTATAATTTTGTTACAAGAAGAGTAGAATGTTCAAAATACCTTTATCACTTATTCAATACCCGTGAGGATTTATGCAACACTGATTTTCAGAAAACGACGTCCGACGAATCGTGGCAAGTGATATCAATGTGACAGGATAGAACTATATTTATTTTTCTTTCTTCATGTCTGATAACCTTAATATTTTAATGCAAGAATTTTTATGTGTGGTAGAACTACGCTGCAGCTATATTTATATATATTATTAATGTAGATGTCTATGGGCCACAGCATCTCCATATACTTACCATCATATGCTGGTATGTCACCCTTGTTCTATATAAAAAAAACATCTGGGCCTTCGCTATTGTAGTTTTTAATTTCCGACGTGTCGGATGCTTTCCATTACCCGATCACGGAAGGGGAGAGATTGAGGTGTTTGACATCGGATGCCATAGTAACTTCGGGTTATCTTCGGTTTTTGAATATTAATTTATGGTCCGTCTACGCAGGACAAGCTTATAAAGAGTATCTTGAAGTGGTATAGTTGTATGGTATCTAACGATAAAAAATAGGTTTGCTAAGTGTATACGATTCCTAAGTCGAAAAAGTTCATTAATTTCTTGGTCACCTTGGTAATATACTTATTACTATCAGTAGACCAAGAAGCTTCGTCTGATTGTATGTACGATGCGAGGGCATTACATCACGATCAGATGTGATGTAATCGCCTCGCATTGTTATGAAAGCCTAGAGAGGGAGCTGCGAGTGTCATCATCATCATTATAGTTAGAGCCTATCAAATGTCATAGAACATAAAACATAGGCCTTTCTATAGATTGCCTTATGAAGGATATTTTCATTTATTACCTACTTGGAAACAGATGAGTTAACCCGTACTTAAATTTAACAAAAGTTAGTCATAACAATATCCACTACCCCGTATCATCCCGTGGGTGTCGTAAGAGGCGACAGAGGGAAACAAATCAGGAGATGAGCAGCAGCATCTTCCTAATAACGACTAAAATATAAAGCTTAGGTTGCCAACCCGCTTGCGAAGCGAGGCAACTATGGTAAATCTATGAGGGTGGCCTATGTTTTGCAGTGGACTTTAGTAGGCAGTAACAGTGGTACGTAGTTTTTTACGTGGTAGAGCCATGCTGCAGTTATATTAGTAGTATAGTTGTAGCACGAATGGGTCGGCTCGACCGGGGAAGGACCACGCTCTCACAGAATACCAGCGTGAAGTAGTAGCTTAATGCTGCTGTATTTCGTATGGTGAGTGTAGAGAACCGGAGACCCTTTTTACTGGAAACGAGGCATTCCATCTCAGTCCTCACGGGTGACAACGCA